TACAAATAGTAGATCGACACTTTATACACTAGAGGCGATTTCGTATGACTGGGAAACGGCGATGACGAATCGCGTCCGTACCGTAACTGTATCGTAGCTGTATCGTATTCATGGATTCTGATTTGTTGGCATTTTTTTCTGCTCACACCTGATTGGATAGATTTGTATGTACCGTAGTTTGCCGAACCGTAAGTTCGATTGTTGATTGGATGAAGCCGACACTTGCCGTATCGCGCGTTACGGTACCGTAAGCTGTACCGTAAGTTCGATCGTTCATTGGGTAAATACGGTGCTCGCGTGATACCGTACTTTAGCCGTATCGTAAGCGTGATTCCTGATTGGCTGAGAGACTTTCTACTGACAACTGGTCTACGTCATCTTGTCACACAACACTAGTTGCTGAATTCTCGCCACCTGTTTTTGCRAMGTTTTYGACAGMAAATTCGATCAGAAAAGCCTTTTAAGGATGAATGTCAATGGAAATCAGTTTGTTGTAAGTAGAGATTTTATAAAATGACTGGCAGATGTTGAGATTTGAAGATTATTATATCAATATTCCTCTATTTTTTCGGCATTTCGAGACCTCAGTGTCGATTTGTTGAGAAAGTGTAGTCTTGGTATGATGCCAGCTTGATAAAATGATCTTTTTGATAAATAAACCAGTTGAATTAGCTTTTGTTTGTATTTATTTGAGCACTTTTAAGCAGGGAGAATATTTGCAATTCATTGTGTGAAAGTTTTTAGTTTGTCAAACTTTCCGTTTTCACTCGCGCGTGACATGTTTTGTCGGTAATTTTCAAGCATTACTTGGATTTTTTTGTACTGCTTGCTTGACAATACCACTTAAATGTTTTGTTGGGAAAATTAGCCTTTTTTTCGTTGTGATTATCATCATTTCTTGCGATTAACTTAAGAAAGGATCGAAGGAATCCGTATCGTAGCCGTACCGTAGCGGTATCGCGTCAGCATCGGTTTCCCACTCATACGAAAACGACTCTATAGACACTTAGTGTAATACTTCGTTTTCTGAAAATAGACACTTTAGACACAAATAGACACTTGATGTCAATAGACATCTATTAGGTATAATAAATTATACAATAATACTGACACTTTTAATATACACTATAGACACGTGTATTGCTTCGTTTTCTGAGAATAGACACTACGGGCCCTTACGCGAAATGTGCAGGACCGGAAAACAGACAGAAACAAAAGCTCCTGAATCAATGGCGCCTGCAAAACATTACATTCCGATTTAAACATAAAAGACACACAATTGTCAAAACGTGACTTGACATTCGAGGACTTATTCACGACCATACCTGTGATCACGAACATGTGATGATGAATCGAGGCGTCAAAGGAACGTACCTTTTTCTTTTGTACATGTGCTGACTTGTCGTCGAAGTATGGAATATCAGTTAGTAATTAAATAGAAGTTAACTAGTTAAATAGTTAAGTTTCATTATGTTAACAAAAGATATGTTATATTTAGTGGAACCTTCCAACTTATTTCCCAGGCGTTTCTCGCTCGTAGCACGCGACCCRCCCGAACAGGTTTCTGGGTAAAAATCAATGAACTGTCAAATTAGGCATAAATATAGTGTCAATTTGTTTCSGCTTTTATTCTCTTTTTTGAGAACTCGAAGATAAACAGTGAACGTTGTATTCCCCGCCATGATGGAAAWCAATGTGAGATCTGCARAAATCAACATCGCATGCATGTGTTACGGTAAATATTTTTGTCGGTTCGTGTGCTCTGAGCGTCGGGGTGGACTAGCTTCGGTAGTAGCGACTCGAATTGCAGGGCCCGTAATCTTAACTTTACCCTACGAGACGGCAYGAGACTTGGACACAGAGCACGGAGTAAATTCTGCTTTAAACCTTGGTTTAATCTTGTATAACGTGGCTTAGCACTAGGTGGTCTCTTGACCAGCATGAGTCAAGCTCGATGCTAGGAGAGTGGTCTCTAAATCTCTAATGTTACAATGATTCTCAGATCTATTTATACGATAAGCTCGGTTACAAGATTCTTTTGTTACAGGTAATGAATGCATTATGAACAATTATAAACAAATACGAGCAATTGTAAAAGTGTCCAGAGTTTCGATTTTTTACTTTTTGCCAACTGTAGCAGTGATGAAGATTGAAAAAAAAAAAATCGCCGAGCCAGGGTAAACATCTGCAGGAATTCAACGCACCGCCAGAAATTTCCACTCTGGAGAGCATGTACAGAAATTTCTCTGGAGACACTGTGGAGAAACTCAAGGGTAAACAAATTATGGTAAATTCAATAAGCACTAGCAATAGTTCTACTGATAGGGTAGGTTGTTTTAAGTGTAATAGTGAGCGTTGTGACTTTGTAAGAATTACTTACAAGGCTAAGTCAAATTTACTAGTTTTGCAACAAAAAGATTTTATCATATAAAGCAACAATTAAGTTGCACTTCAAAGAACG